TGGGGGGGGTCACTCTAGTGACGGCCCCCCAGGAATAGAGACACCACAGGGACCTGAGGCCCAAACATGTGACTTTGCCTTGTGTCCCTATTGGGGGCCCGGAAGTGATGGGGACTCCATGTTTTAGTAGAGCGGGGGAGGGGCTCACATTTGGGTGGAGGCCAGACCTCCTCTTCCTGTCCTCCCTCGGAGTCCTGGCGCAGTCGGTGTGGGGGCATGATGAGGTCTGTAGTACATTTCATGTTGTGTGTTTTGTGTCTCGCAGAGAGTATAACCCCCACCGTGGAGCTGAACGCGTTGTGTATGAAGCTGGGCCGTAAGCCCGCCTACAAGCCCCTGGACCCGTACACAGGAATGCGTTCCCCATACAGCTACAACATGCGTGGCGGCGGTTATCCCCCACGGTACGTCCCGGCAGGTCCCCGGGGCGCGGTGCCGGCGGGACGGTGTGTATGATGCTGCTTTCTGTTCCCCGCAGGTACTTCTACCCGTTCCCTATGGCGCCCATGCTGTACCAGGTGGAGCTCTCTATAGGAGGACAACAATTCCACGGGAAAGGCCGAACGCGTCAGGCCGCCAAGCACGACGCAGCCGCCAAAGCTCTGAAGTTCTTACAGCATGAGCCCCTCCCCAGCAAACCCGAGGTACGCGCCCCACCTCGTATGATCCCTATTGTGTGCGCACAAAGGGGGGTCACATGATCTATAGACATGAGGACACGCCCCCACCTCGTATGATCCCTATAGTGTGCGCACAAAGGGGGGGGTCACATGATCTATAGACATGAGGACACGCCCCCACGTCGTATGATCCCTATAGTGTGCACACAAAGGGGGGTCACATGATCTATAGACATGAGGACACACCCCCACGTCGTATGATCCCTATAGTGTGTACTAAAGGGGGGTCACATGATCTATAGACATGAGGACACGCCCCCACGTCGTATGATCCCTATAGTGTGTACTAAAGGGGGGTCACATGATCTATAGACATGAGGACACGCCCCCCCGTCGTATGATCCCTAAGTCACATGATCTATAGACATGAGGACACACCCCCACGTCGTATGATCCCTATAGTGTGTACTAAAGGGGGGTCACATGATCTATAGACATGAGGACACGCCCCCACGTCGTATGATCCCTATAGTGTGCACACAAAGGGGGTCACATGATCTATAGACATGAGGACACGCCCCCACGTCGTATGATCCCTATAGTGTGCGCACAAAGGGGGGGGGTCACATGATCTATAGACACGCCCCCACGGATGTACAAGGACCTTGTAGGTGAACGAGAGAACCGGCCTGTAGCATCGCCTATTGGGGTTTCCACTTTTCTGGCCACTCCTCCTCTGTGTCAGGATCTGTAGGGGGCGGGGTGTGTGGGGAGGGGGCGTGTCCGTCACCTTCTCATCCGGGTTTTTTCCGGCAGATGAATGGGAAAGCGTCGGATGAAGAGAATCTGAACAAGTCAGAGATAAGCCAAGTGTTCGAGATCGCACTGAAAAGGAACTTGCCTGTGAATTTCGAGGTGAGTCCGGGTGGGGGCGGAGCCAATAGCTGTGTGCCGCCGTCGGTTCAGCCCGGCGTGGGGTCTCAGCCCAGTCCATGTTCTGCTCTGGGACCGTGTCCTTGCTGGGAATGGGGGCGGGGTCATCGTGTGTCAGAATGGTGGAGGACATT